TCCCTGGCTTGTGCTGATTGTCCCACATCCTCAGGGCTGTTGCTACGGCTCTGGGCCTGAGACGGGAGAGCGTAGGGAAAGTCGGAACTGTTTCATTGTCTAGCTCTCTTGAGTCTTTAACACTTGTTTTTCCTGCCCGTGTTTAGATGTTAATGTCGTAAGAAAGGGCTTAGAACTTACGAGGCGAAAGGGCGTTCTAAGAGGCCCAATAGCAGCTTTGAGAAAGACACAAAAGGTTCTTCCCCCCCCCCAATACAGTAGCCTGGAAATGTGATTTCCAGTTGGTACGTCAGTGACATATGATTTTTTTTTAAAAAAAAAAAGTTAATTGGACTTAGCGTCATTTTAACTTTATTATTTACTACTTGTAAGTAGTCTGAATGATGCAGGTCACCAGAACATTTATTCCACTATAGGTCCTGTGAATTGCATTGTCTATAGCTGTCATTGTCTATGGGTCAGTGGCCAGATTCACACCATTCTTTAGAAAATATGGGAAGGACTATCCAAGGAATACGTTAAAATCACTTTTTTCTTCCCATGATTTAAGATTTGATTTGGGGTAAGTCTTGTCTTCTTTGGGATGGTTTCGGAATGAAACAGTTTGTCCCACTGATCATGAGATCCTATTTCTCAAGATCTGCCTGACAGAAATAAATCAAGGAGTTGCTGATGCACAATACAGTAACTACTATTCGAGCTCAACTCTTCTTTTCTACAGCCACCTGCTTCTAAGAGATGTGCTTTTAGGCTTGGCTGGATTTCTCGGAATCAGGCACACTTTAGGTAACTTCGTAACTGTCATGAATAGAGGGTATCATCTTGGTCAGCTATGAAGGGTCTTGAGGTCTGCTCTAGTGTTACTATGTATTTGGGGGAGTAATGTTGAAAGCTGTATGATCTACAAAGCCTAGGAGAATCCCCCAGCAATGTATGAGAGAGGGTGGCCCTGGGAATTAGTAAGCCTGGGGAAATTAAACATTTAAAGGGGGGGTGGCAGACTCTAGGCAGGCCTGATGGGTCATGAGTTGCACAGGACAGTTAAAGAACCACAGCTCATTTAAAGAGATGCCACAGCAGCAACAGGTTAAATGCTTCCTTCCCCCCCCTCCAAAAATCTACATTTGCCCAGAATTCAGAAAAAGACTGGAAAGCCTATAGCCACACCTTCATTGGATACACATGAGACCAGCTACTACGTAATAGCTGTTGTTGTTGTTGTTTTTTTCAGCCTGGTAAGATCAGTGCAAGATTTACGAACCTCCAGATAGGTGTATACCGCCTCCTGGCATCATTAAAACCACCTTTCTCCTTCCTCCTCCTTAAAAGCAGTTACATACCTGAGCCCATCAACTTTCAGGGAATGAATATTCAGAACGTGGCCTTGAGTCAATCTTTCATAAAAGCCTCATTATTCTCATTATGTGCTACTGACTGTTTTAAAATGAAATAATTTTTTTCTGTTGCTTATCTCAAAGAATTCATTTTCTGGAATTTCTCTCCATCTAAAAATATGCACATTTATTTCTAATGATTACTGTCTAGTATTTGAGGAGGAGTCATTTTTAAATAACACCAGGTGCTACCCTGCTTTTGTATTTCTCTTGATTTTGCCCTAATGCAATTTGCAAAAGCACAAATGGGAGACTGAGTCTCAAGATGTAGGAAAAAAATGTTGAGCCTGAGCTGTTTAGATGAGAATAAAATCTGGATTGTCAACATTTTTATACATATTGAAACCCAGCCTCCCATTTGTACTTTTGCCACCAGTGGATGTAACAGTTCCCTCTGTATTGTGTCCTAAAGCAGGTTGGCCATCATGTCTGTGATGGAATTGGGCTCTGATTCTTTCTTCTACTTGCATGTCTCAGAGCTCAGGCAATAGCATTTGCAGAGTTGAGTGTCTGAGCTGACATGCAAATATATGTTGTGTGCTGCCCAATCAGAGCTGAATTAGAGTAGCCCTAATACAGTATTAAAGATAAGTGAGGTACTTAAAGAGTGTTTTACCAGTCTCCCCCCTCCTTCCCTACTAAGTTCCATGGCTGAGTAGGGATTTGAACTAGTATCTCTGTCCACTACACCACAATGGGATTCAAAAAAAAGTGCCCCATCGCAAACAAGATAGCCAGCTTCTCACAATAGCATTGGCAAAGAGATATACACAGCAACAAAGCCTAGCTTCTCTTGATTAGATAACCAGCTTTGTATTTAAGATAACTAGATGCACAAGCCAGAAGGGGTAGGTGAGAGCAGCTTGCAGACTTGCCCTGAGGATATGAATTACATGTCTATACTATAATTTCAGCATGTAGTCTTATTGAAATTAGTAGCCCTTTCAAGTAACTGCATATGCTCATTTGTAAATGAAACACTGAAATCAACAGGAAAATCTTCTCTCTCTCTCTCTCTCTCTTCCAAGTAAATGCATATGCTCATTTGTAATTGAAACACTGAAATCAACAGGAAAATCTCTCTCTCTCTCTCTTAGTTGGTTGCTGTCTTTATGTTACTTTATGTTAACTCACCTGCTCATTTAGATATGGTAATGGTTGCTGTCTTTATGTTACTTTATGTTAACTTACTTTCAGATTGCTTTTAGATTAAAAAAACATCTTTGTTGGCTGGAGTTTTTGAAAGTTTCTTAAACAAGAAATGCATACTTGTTAGAATAATGAACTAAAACGCCACCTGGTACATTTTGATGCAGAAAAAGGTAAAGGTTCCTATTGACAATATTTGTCCAGTCAGGTTCGACTCTAGGGCGTGGTGCTCATCCCTGTTTCCAAGCCATAGAGCCAGCGTTTGTCCAAAGACAATCTTCCGTGGTCACATGGCCAGTGCGACTTGGACACAGAACGCTGTTACTTTCCACCACCTGGTACATTCTGATGCAGAAAAAGGTAAAGGTTCCCCCTGACAATTTTTGTCCAGTCGTGTTCGACTCTAGGGGGCGGTGCTCATCCCTGTTTCCAAGCCATAGAGTCAGCGTTTGTCCGAAGACAATCTTCCGTGGTCACATGGCCAGTGCGACTTGGACACAGAACGCTGTTACTTTCCTGTTACCTTCCCACCGAGGTGGTCCCTATTTATCGACTCGCATTTGCATGCTTTCGAACCGCTAGGTTGGCGGGAGCTGGGACAAGCAATGGGCGCTCACTCCGTCACATGGATTCAATCTTACAGCTGAAGATCTACAGACCTTACAGCACAGAGGCTTCTGTGGTTTAACCCGCAGAGCCACCATGTCCCTTGGATGCAGAAAAATGTCTTAGTGAATTCAAGGTCCCATATTTCCGAATACATACACTGTAGCCTAAATTAACTACAGTATTTTTGTCCAGCATCTCAGGTATGCACAAAGATGCTTGTGTGTAAAAGGAGTGCTTCATTAAAGAGATTGTGGAGACCTTGTGAGAATTAAAACTGTAGGCATGTATTGCTGCAAATAGCCTTCAGTAATTGATGGACAAAAATAATTTATTACATGATGAGTAAAGTGGAGACATTATGGAGTTCTTATTATCTCTGGGGTTGACTCATGTGAACCCTTTCCGCTTCACTGTTAAGTGGCCATATTAAATCTCTCCCCATTTCTAGTAATGAGTCTGACTGCATGGAGGCCATTCTGTAAATTGTGTGCCAATCTTCTGTCTGTCCATATACATATGCATGGCCAAACTCCAAGAACACACTGCCTGTGGCTGTGTGCACTGTCTGAAAACCTGATTTTTTTTAGCTCTTCAGGGTAAGCTTTGAGAGTACTTGGTGTGGCGATTGCAGTGAACAGGGTGGTTCATCCTCCCAGTTCCTCTGTGGGAAGCAGTGGAATAACAAAAACCATAGGATCTTGCCAGCTCCACACAAATAACAGAAAAGAATAAGTATATGACCCTAATTTAATCACCTTAATCTGAATTATGTGGTGGTGTGTGCTGATTAAGAAAGTTTCATGTATGTGATTTGATTACATAAGCCATCCCCTAAAAGAAAGGTAACAAAAGAATAAATAAATAATAAACCAGCTGAATCCCCTTCATGGATTGCTGCCTTGTCGTGGCGAAGGGGCTTAAGTAACTCAGAGAAGCTATGGGCTATGCCGTGCAGGGACACCCAAGACGGACAGGTCATAGTGGAGAGTTCTGACTAAACACAATCCACCTGGAGCAGGAACTGGCAATGCACTCCAGTATCTTTGCCAAGAACGCCCCATCATCAGAAACAAAAGGCTAAAAGATATGACGCTGGAAGATTGGCCCCTCAGGTCGAAAGGCGTCCAACATGCTACTGAGGAAGTGCGGAGGACAAGTACAAGTAGCTCCAGAGCTAATGAAATGGTTGTGCCAAAGCCGAAAGGATGCTCAGCTGTGGACGTGCCTGGAAGTGAAAGGAAAGTCCAATGCTGCAAAGAAAAATACTGCACAGGAACCTGGAACGTAAGATCTATGAACCTTGGGAAGCTGGAGGTGGTCAAACAGGAGATGGCAAGAATAAACATCGACATCCTGGGCATCAGTGAACTAAAATGGACA